CCCATCTCCCTATTTCTCTATCTCTCTCCCTATCTCTTTATCTCCCCCCTCTATCTCCTTCCCTATCTCTCTCCCTATCTCCCTCCCTCCCTATGTATCTCCCTCTCTCTCGCTATCTATCTCCCCACCTCCCCATCTCTCTCTCTCCCTCCCCCTCTCCCTCCTCTCTCCCCATCTCCCTCCCTTTCTATCTCCCTCCCTCTCTATCTCCCTCTCTGTCTCCCTATCTCTCTCTCCTCATCTCCCTATTTCTCTATCTCTCTCTCAATCTCTTTATCTCCCCCCTCTCTCCCTATCTCTATCTCCCTATCTCTCTACCTCCCTATGTATCTCCCTCTCCCCCCCCTCTTGCTATCTATCTCCCCAGCTCTCTCTCTCCCTCCCCCTTCTCCCTCCCCCCTCTCCTCTCTCTCTCTCTCGTACTTATTCGTACTTAAACCCCCAAGGCCAGCCCGGTCTTAGCTCCCTTGCTATTGCCCTACTCCTAGTCCACAGGGCCAAGGCTGCCTTAGATCCCGCGGCAGTCGGTGGAAGGAAGATTTCCTAGGACTTTACGCGAGACTCCTTCGACGGCCCCAGGGGGATCTCTCTGGAGCCCGCTGCTGGGTCCCGGCAAGAGCCACTCGGCCTCAGTCTCCTCCCCTTCTTCGCCTTCCGAGTCCTCCATTTTCGCGCGGCGTTTGCGCAACGCCGGCGGTTCAGGGCAGACCAGCCAACGCGCTCCGCCTCTGTCCGGAGCCCGAACTCAGACGCCCAGCCTTTGGAAGGAGGAGTTTTAAGAGGAGAGCCGTCCAATCATCCTTCTGTTCTCTCCGCCTCGCACCAATGAGAATGCGGGGACCGGTCCCGGATCGCTCGGCCGGCCTAGCTTAAGACCCTTGAACTTCTTTCTTTGAAGCCTGCGACTCACTCTCGGCACGTTCACCAGCGACTAGTTAGGATCGTCTTAGCCCTCTGGTCGTGCGAACTCAGCCCTTAGGGTTAGTTACGGGTTCAGAGTGTCCCAGGAGCAAGTCACGTGTTTCCTCGCAAAGGCTTGACGCGCAAAACGAAAGTGTGCAGGCGCTTCCGTTGAGTTAAATTCGCTTTTCTAAGAAAGTGAAAGGGATTAAAGCCCTCTGTCTCTTAACAAGAGATAACCACGTCTGAGAGGGCCAGGGTGCCTAGTGCCTCGTTGGTGCGCTATTAGAATATACTGTGGTGAATAAAAGCTATTAATTTCACCCCCAAAGAGGGAGAATCCCACTTCCTTTCTAATATTAGGAAATATCCGTTTCGCAACGAAATAGAAAGTTGAACTGTAGCCGGAGACTTTGGCAACACTTTATTTTCGGGAATAGAAACAAAGAAGAACAAAATTGTACCCTTTTGATTAGAAAAGGACAGCGCGGATTTTTTTAAAAAAATATATAAATGAATCTGAGTGAGAATTTCAGGATTTGGGTTCCCACCGCACATCAACCCAAAACGTGTGTGTGATGGGTACATCCAGCCAATGTGGTTTATTCATGTTAAACCATGGGTTAGCCTATTATAAGGACTTCGCCAAGCACAGTGAAGGATGATTTGAGTTTGGAGAACATGAAGAATCAGAAATTAGCCCTAACAATACACTAGGGCTAAAATACGGCTAGTTCATAAGTGTGTTCACACAACCAGTTTAATCCGGTTATTGAATCAACTAACCCATTTTCTGAGTTGTCTGTGGAAATTTTCAATCATCCAGGTCACGGTTGTCCCAAAGGTGCTTTTTCCCAAAAGTCAACTTGACTTTCTTGGTTTTTTTCTTTTTCTTTGAAAAGGCATCAAAGCTTCTAGGAGGAGAAGTAAAACTTTTCAAAGAAAAACAACAACCAAGAAGTCGAGTTGGCTTTTGGAAAAAAGTACCTTTGGGTTGTACAATACTCCGGAACTCGACGTTACCAAGGAACTGGATTCGCACGACAGCTTTATAAAGCTCTTCCCTGACTTAACAGGTGAAACTCAACAGGTGAGTCTTAACCCCCTGGCGTTAAGCTACTGTATAATAGCAGCCCGTGAAGCCAACTTCTCCGGGGTAGCGTTTTGATTTTCACGGGAGCCAAATTACACATCAGAGGGAGCCAAGTTAGGGAAAAGTTTGCCGAGCAAGCGCCTTTTCCCGAAAGTCCACATTCAGCTTCGCCGATCGCTTCTCTTCTTTTAAACGGCTTTCGACCTCTTAACCTTCTTGAAAGCTGCCTTTTGAACCACTTAGAAGCATTAAATGACGTTCAAGTGGAAGGAGACCGACTTCTGGCATTTCTACAGGCCTTTAACTAGTTTTTTGAAAATCCGCGAAGAGGGTGGATGTAAAGAGAAGGGGATCCGTCATCCTTCCCCACGAACCTTTACATGCCTAGCTCTCTTCTCTCTTCCCGCGCCTCTGTAATTCAATTCAGTTCAATTCGATCCTTTATTGTCAATGCACAACATGTGTACAATGAAATTGGCTGAGCCTCAAGTAGTGCACGCCCCCCCAACATAAATACATCTCAACTCACAGTGAAAAAAAATCCCTAACCCGGTAAAATCATACTATCAAACACACAATCCTCTATACATATATGTGCATTACATTACATGATATTATATTGCACCAATGTGAGCATGTTGCACGTTGCGCCGGTCCTGCGAGTCTATCACGCAACCACCAAAAGAGCTCGCTACGCCCTCAAATGACCCCCCCTCCCCCACACCTCTCACTGCGGCCTCTGCTGAAGGATCCGGGAACAATTTTCCTGGCCGGAAACTTTCGCAATAGGAAGCTCGTGACGTTTCAAGGTTCTTCCCGCGCCTTTGAGGTCCCGCGTGGCAGCTCCCGGCTGAAGTTCGGTGGGTTCGGCCCACCCACGCGGTGTTTCGTTTCTAATGTATAAATCTGGACTCCCGAAAAGTACTGCTCTTCAGGACGTCCCAATTGCACCCATTAGATCCAGTTCAGGATGGTGGGATTTTTTGGGGTGGTGGTGGGAGGGGTGATCGGGGAGAGTACTTTGCACATGGTCAGAGAGCATCTTGACAATCGCAACTCTGTTCTTTCTCCCCGATTCTTAGCCTCAGAAGTTGGGGGGGGAGGGAACCCACTCTCAAGAAGCTCTGCTCGAAAGTTTCATTTTAGTTTAGATCACGTGAAATCTATTGGTTTTAGTTTTATGGGCGATGAAAGAAAGAGCTATTATTCTGGACCGTCTCAAAAGTCCGGATTAAAAGTTACAATCTCCATCGTCTTCATCCTCCGCTCAGTTCCAAAGACATTGGACTCTTAAGCGTCCCGGGGGGTGGGGGGAATCTAAGGAGAAAAAGAACTCTGCACATGATACCGCGCACGCCTGCCTTTTCCTATTGCAGGGCGCGACGTGCAATAAAATTCACATGGTGCAATTAGGATTGTGAGTTTGTTAGTAGGATTCACTGGGTTAGTTAGATTCACTGACTTCACTGGGAGTTGCTTATTGTACCCTATGACTTTCATTAAGTGTTGTACCTTCTGATTCCTGACTCTTGATGAATGTATCTTTTCTTTTATGTACACTGAGAGCATTTGCACGAAGACAATTTCCTTGTGTGTCTAATCACACATGGCCAATACAGAATTCTGTTCTGTTCTGTTCTGTTCTATTCTATTCTATTCTATTCTATTCTATTCTATTCTATTCTATTCTATTCTATTCTATTCTATTCTATTCTATACCTTATTCTATTCTATACCTTATTCTATTCTATTCTATTCCTTATTCTATTCTATTCTATTCCTTATTCTATTCTATTCCTTATTCTATTCTATTCCTCATTCCATTCCATTCCATTCCATTCCATTCCATTCCATTCCATTCTATTCTATTCTATTCTATTCTATTCTATTCTATTCTATTCCTTATTCTATTCTATTCCTTATTCTGTTCCATTCCATTCCATTCCATTCCATTCCATTCCATTCTAGAGTTGTATTGTGTTGGCGGGGTTGGGTGCGTGTGCACGAAGGGACGCTCAGCCAATCTCATTGTACACAGGTTGTCCTCAGACAACAAAGGTTTGAACTTGAACTTAAAAAAAATCTCAATCCCGGCCAAAAGGAATTCCAGACTTTCCGACCTCGAAGGCGCGTAAAGCCCGTCCCCGAAAGAAGGCGTCGGCTTGGAAGCAACCGGGCAGCATCGCCCGGCGCCCCTCCAGTCTGAAGCGGGCCGGGGTCGAGGGAAAAGAAGGGCGGGGGGCGGTCTTAGGAAGCCGGGAATGCCTTGCCTTGCCTTGCCTTGCCTTGCCTGGGACAGGGGGCTGGGCCGGGCGTGGGCGCGGCGGCTCGCTGGCTGGCTGGCTGGCGCGCCGTCATCCTTCCCACTCTCCTCCCCTCCCTTGGCTGTGCGGCGCGGGCTCTATGACCCCGAGGTTCCGAGCGCCGATGACACGGATTCCGAGGCTCAGTTACGGAAGCAGCAGCAGCAGCAGCAGGAGCAGCAGCAGCAGCAGCAGCCACCGCCCCTCCCCCAGCCGCCGCTGTCGCCGCCGCCGCCTCCTCCTTCTCTTACTCCGCCGCCGCCGCCGCCGCCGCCGCCTGGCCGAAGGGAAGCCCTGCGCGCGCAGCCCCGACTCTTCCTCCCGGCACTGGCCGAAAGGGCTCGACGGCGGCGGCGGCGGCGGCAGCAGCAGCAGACGCCGAAGAGGAGGCGGCGGTCCCGGGTGGACACGGCTTCCCGCTGCCGCCGCCGCCTCTGGACAGCCGCTCCGACGCGCCTGCCCGGCAGAGCGCGCCCCGCCGACCTCTCCCCTCCGCCCCTGCCGAAGGGGCCGAGGAGCTGGCCAGCAGCAGCAGCAGCAGGAGCAGCAGCAGCAGGCCTCGGTTCGGGGGCGCCTCACTTTCCCCGGCTTCGACTCCTCCGTCTCTGGCCGAGGGGCACCCCCGAGCCCCCCGCATGGAGAAGCGGGGCAAGAGAGTGGACTGTCCGGCGTTGCCCCCCGGGTGGAAGAAAGAGGAGGTCATCCGCAAATCGGGGCTGAGCGCCGGGAAGAGCGATGTCTACTACTTCAGGTGAGCCGGCTGTGAGGAGAAGCGGTGGGTGGGTGGGGGGTGAGAGGAGAGCCGGTCTGGGGCCGAAGGAGGGAGCCCGGGGCTTAGCCCGGAGCCCGCCTTTCCTCCACTCCGGAGAACCTGGCCTCCCCGCCTGCGTTAGGAAGCTGGAGCTGCCAGGGTTGAGTCAGGGCGTAACCCCGGAGGAGGTTTCGTAAACGCTCCGGTTCTCGCTTTTGCCAGAGGAGAAGCGGCGGGGGTGCCTCTGAGCATGGCTAGAGAGGGGCCCGTCCGCGGAGAGGGTCCAACTTTTGGGTGAAGCGGCGCTTTGGAACGCCTGAATGAAGCCTTTCGTCCCCGCGCGTCTCTCTCTCTCCCTCTTTTATAAATCTATACTAGTTTCTCTCTCTCTCTCTCTCTCTCTCTCTCTCTCTCTCTCAAATCTATTACTAGTTCTCTCTCTCTCTCTCTCTCTCTCTCTCTCTCACACACACACACACACACACACACACACACACTTTTCTTTTTCAGGCGCCTGGGGATCGGTGGGGAAAAGTTTAGCAATTCGTAACTTTCAGGAAAGCTGGACGGTTTTTTTGACATTCCTAATTTTCCGAACTTAAAACTTTTTGCTCTGGGCAAGACAGCCTGTTAGTCCCAGAGACTTGTACCTAGTGTATATATATGTATATATATGTATGTATGTATATATGTATATGTGTATAGATAGATAGATAGATAGATAGATAGATAGATAGATAGATAGATAGATAGATAGATAGATAGATAGGTCTGTTTTTCCCTTTCCACCCCCTTGGATTGATTTCCTCAGCATCGCTCCCTTCGGGTACCACTCCTTTCCCTTCCCCCCCCCCTCACCCAATCCACTCTTCCTTGAAGTTCCATTTTCCTGCCTTGGGAAAATAAACCCATTTTCTGCCTCCCAGCCTTTTGGCTGCAAGGGCCATCTGATAGATTTAGCCAGGCTCTGCATTATCTCAGACCACAGGTTGGCCTCTACAGTTTCTAAACTTCTGACTCTGATATACCTCAACTTTCCTCTCCAAACTCTATGAGTGGCAGGACAGAGGCGGGATAAAATTTCTGGGCTGCTGTTCTGCTTGCCAAGTAGAGGAACCAGGTTTTTAAAAGCTGGTAAAGGAGAGGGAGGGTTGGGTTGGGAGGCAAGCCTCCGTCTGTCCTCACCCCGTGGTGCGGTGGTGCTCTTCGGGGGGATGCATTAGGCTGGATTTTCCAAGCCACTTGGCTGGTTGAGTGAACTGCACGTTTTGAACATTTTAATCCAGCAAGGGAAACTTTGGCAGACAAAAAGAAGTTGCTTTCAATTTCCTTTCTTTCCATTTGGTTCATGATGTCTGAGACCACGTGTTTTCTACCATATCCCCTGAGTTAATAGTTCAGCCTGGGGAGGGGGAAAGTTTTTTTTTTTTGTCCTCTCTGTTTATTTGGATAGATCCATTTATAGCTCCGAGAAGCCTGCTGTGAAAAAACAGCCACCTTTTCCAACGAAAAACCTAGCTGTCTGTGCCTGATAAGGTGAACTTGGCAATGTTTGTGGAGTGAAGTCCAGGACATGTGGCTCTCCTAGGTTGGGTTAGGAGAGAGGCCACGAGGAAACTCCTGTCTTGCTCCTGTCCTGTTCACTCGGGCCTCTTCCCTCCCCCCTCGCCAATGTGCTGGGTGTTGGGGGAGAGTGGGAGGTTTTCCTGGAACATAAGCCTCAACGAGTGCTTGGTGACCCGTATGAAAACTCTGCACTCCCCCACCCAAGCCTAACCAAGACAGTTAAAGCCTAACAGCTTGCCACGCTTGGTTGGTTTCACTGTAGATGGCAGGAGTTGGTGGCTTAGCAAGCTGTGCAAACTCAGCCTGTTTGGTTAGTTTACAATGCAGCGGATTACTTCAGTAAATGAGGGAAGCGTCCTGCTGGAACCCAGATTTATACTCAAAGGCAGCCCTACTTCATCTTATTCAGCCCAAGGCAGTACTACGTGGTTTTCTTTCCTCCATGAGCCTTGAGGTGTGCCACTCTTGAGGTTTGAACTGACACTCCCCAATTTTGGATGGTACATTAAAAACAAAACAAAAAAACCAACCTTCATTGCAGGTCTGGCTAACCAAAGGAACTTGGCATTCTTGTTTCTCCTTGAAGGGAATCCTGTATAATATTCCCATGATTTCATTCTTTGCTCTTGTGGGCTGGAATCCAAGGCTGGGTGTTCCTCCATTTTTATTATCTGCTGGAGAGCACAGCAGAAAAACACCTTGGAATCTGATCTTGAAAGGGCCTTCAACTTTGATTTTCAACTTGATATTTTCTCTTTCACTTTCCAACTGAAAACAGCTCCATCCTCACCAGTTACCGTGGCTGAGACTAGTGGCATTGCTGTACATTCTGTCTTTACTAATAGCTTACGAACTGGGAGTAACATATTTTCTGATGAACAGATTTTCTTAAAAGGTCTCAGTGTTTTTGGAACTTCAGCCTTTTACTAAAATGTGTTAGATGCTATCAGACTCTTCCTGATTTTTTTGCTACTGCAGATCAACATAAATTTTCCTCAATATTCCATGATATTTAATCAATAAAATAAATAAAAAGGAACTGGGTGCTCAGTTGGGTACAAAGAAGCAGTTTTTTGGGGGGTGGGTGAATGGAACACTTACTTAAACCTTATATTACCAGTGTCTCCCAAAACCCAACATCTCCCCTTCCTCTTCTTCCTCCCCTCCCCTCCTGGGACATTTCTTGCAAGTAATATTTACTGAAGGAATAGCTGGAAAAGGAACAGCTAAATAGCTTTCCTTCTCTACTTGCAACTTACTGCTTACAGCTGTGTGTGTTTGGATGTGAGTGTGTATTTAAAATACAACACAGAAAGAAAGTGCCTTATCTGAACAGGGAATTGGTGGCAGCGATGTGATATAAGTTCATTCAAGCTGTTCTTGTGATAGTTTGAGATACACTGTTTAGTGTGTTTCTTAGTATACCAAGCTTACATTGGATTTTGCACCTGTGTCCTTTGTAAACATGAGAGGAAAACAAAGAAACTGTGAACTCTGTTCAGGATACACTTACAAAACTGTAACTGGTTGGTTTTTTTTTTTGGAAGGCAGGAAGGCAGGTGTGATAGCACATACTTTTTTATCTGTCCTGTTGCATGCGCACTGCACGCTGAGGTTGTAGCAGCTGCCTTTCCTGTGGCTGTCAGACCACACACCCTGCAGCTTCTGCACCTGGGGAGCCAAACCTTCAGAACCATTCAAGGGTCTTCAAACTTGGCAAGTTTAAGACTTGTGGACTTCAACTCCCAGAATACCTGAGCTAACATGACTGGAGGAGGAATTCTGGGAGTTCAAGTCCGCAAATCTTAAAGCTGTCAAGTTTTAAGACAGCTTTAACACAAGATCCCTGGAAGAGATGTTACCTTGTTCCAGCCAAATGTCCTCTCCTTCTCTTTTGAGAAACCAGCATCCTTGCCTTATTAATTGGAGGTGGGCATCTTGTGGTACCGAAAGGTGGATTTGTAACTTCTGCTTGTCATTTCGAGTTTCTCCAGCATGGCACTGAATTTAACTTTCCGTTTTAAAGTGGGGAAACAGAAACTTAAAAGGAGCTCGGAACGGTTTAAAACAGGCGTGTCCAACCGACAGGCTGTATGCAGCCCTGGATAGCCAGTAATGCGCCACCCCCAAGAACACAAACATTTAACATTATGATGTGGTTCATATACATGAACTATATTATACACTTTACATGAGGCCTGAAACAATTTCTCTTCACTCAGTGCAGCCCAAGCAAGCCAAAAAGGTCGGAGAGCACAGATTTTCTGGCCTACTTACATATGTGTGACTTAGAGGCACATCATTTTGGATGTTCAGAAACCATTGCACGCTGCAGCCAAATACTCAACATTTGTCGTCCTCTCCAGTTAATAGTCCACCTTACATCAGTTAACTTACTAACATTTATTATCAATTTTATTTATCCATCTGCTTATTACTAAGTTGGATTGGATTGGAACTTATTATCTGCCATTCTAGTAATGAAATCGTTCCAGGCTTTAAGATAATCAGAAACATTTTAGGGGCAACCTAGACAAAAACACTCCAAAAGCAAATGAAATAGAGTGAGTATTTTTTAACTGATTGCATCTCTAGAATGAAAATCAGCTTTTTAAAAAACTGGGAGAGTCAGACAGGAGATTATTTAAAAGTTTTGGATCAAGGGACATATTCAGATTCAAAGGTCTACAGATGAAACACCAAGACCAAAAAGGATGTAAGAATTTCTCAGCTTATTAGAGATAAGGCGGTTCTACAAATAGCCACATCTTAGGCATTTGCAACTGTAAAAAGTAAAACTAGCCTTTCATTATTAATGTAGTATTGTGGTCTAATATGGTTTGACCCTGTTTAACATTGCTTTGCTACTAGTTTATTCAATAATCCATGATTATGTCAACTAGAGTTAAGCACGGGTGTTTAAATCCAGACTTTGAGAATTAGGGTTCAAAGCAAGATCAATTTTTATTTTGGTCTTCATGCAGAATTCCATGCTGCTTTAGACACAGTTGCTTTCTATGCTAGCGTGTGAAACACAAATATTATAGAACCTATATGTAGGGTGCAGTTGATCTGTGTTTTTAAAACATTCATTTTTTTACCTGTTTGTTTCAAGTTTACAGCAGAAATCTTTTTTTTTTTAACCCAATGGGCATATTTATTTGGACTTTTGAGAACATGTGAGTTTTACAGTATATTTTGCTTCTTCCAACCTTCACAGCAGTTATAAATACATTCTTATTTTATATTCTCTCTCTATGATTTATCTCTTTCCCCATATTCATCAAAACCGTAGTTCAAAGTTCACCACCACCCCCATTTTCAGTAAAAAGTCCACCAAAGGTTGCAATTACCATCTTTTCCTTAACCAAACAAGATATTTTGCCAAGGCCCTTCTCCATGGAGTCACTTTGGGAAAAAAAAATGATTTCATG